TTGTCATAATGAAAACATTGTTATTAAGCCTTAATGTATCATTGTTCCCTTCCCAAGTATTTGTGGCATCATAGCATCTAATCAGTACAATAAACAGAGTGCGACTCAGGATGAGATGATGAGCATACTGCTGATGCAAGAATGGATGACGTGCATCACAGTAAGGACAGAGTTAGTGTTAGTCATTTGTTCAACAAAGAAAAACAATTCTAGCAATAATAAAGACTTAAGACTCTATTATAGAGACTTAAGACTCTATTATCCTTTAAGAGTCTACAGAAACCCTAAGCCCACTGTCTTGAAGACACAGAAATGTGCTTTTATTAAATCATATATATATACCTTTTATAATTTATCAGAATGTCTGACTTCTGAGGTATCATCAGTCTCACTTAAATTATGAAACATAACATTGACTGCTTTGTTGTTCTCATATGTGTTATAAGAGCTGGATAGTAAAGAAGGAAAAAACTAATTGAATTATATAATGTAAATTTCAATCAAAGAACAAAATCAGGCGTTTGCTTACTCTCCCTTCCCGACACTAAAATTTATTGTAAAAACCCAACACTTTTAAAGAAGTAAATAAACCCTCTGGTAGACAGACATAAAAATGATTAGATACAGTTACATTATTACTTTCACATTAGTTATCTGTATCCTCTGTCCTAATGAAGTTCAAATTTTTAATTAAATAAAAAAATGAAATCTGGAGAATAACCCGCATGTATAAAGTCAGTTCTTACCCTTGACAGCTTACACTTTCAAAATAAGGTGAGTGGATTATTTTTTAAGTGTACATAAGAAAGGTCAAGTGCTATGGGTTTGTGTGACATTCCCTCTGTTTCATAAATTAAGCAATTATGTTTACTGCAAAGATCCCCAAATATAATTCAATACAAATACTGCTTCTATATTCCAGCATTTTTCATCCTAGTAAAATATCATGGCAAATTGCTTTACCAAAGTATGTAAAGATGCTGATGAAAGCTGGTAAACTCATCCCTTGCCACCCTCTCCTGACCCATGGAGCACTAACTTTGGTAAACTGATAATGCTTTATAAATTGATAATTTATAACATGATAAATTTATAACACTCTAAAAATAGAGCTGGAACAAATAAGTACATAAGGTTGGTGAATTGACTGAATTTCTTCCAAAGTAGTTGTGTTCAGGCATCTATTCTAACTTCACTCACTCTACATGCCTAAGAATCAATCTGCTAGTTTTTGCTAGGCTCTAACCATATTCTTAAAAGTTAGAAAAAGATATATCTTAATACACTTGCTATGGTAGTACCTAGACTTCTTAATTGACACTAAGCAAATATCTGTAAAAGCTGTTAACCATCCTTGACCCTAGGACCTGCCAGCCAAATATTTTTACCAAAAGGTTGAAATACTTATTTAAAGAATGTTCATATACTTTATACTTAGATACTATTGTTAATTTAAGGAGAAAGGAAAAAGTCATAAAGGGTAAAAATTAGATAGCCCACATCAACCAAAAAGGAAATTTAGTAAGAAAATTAAAATGTACTTGTTATATTAATTAATGAAAAAAGAAAGGACAGGCATTCAAGCAACTGAGAACTCAGGCCTATATGAATTTCACAATTAGATTTCTGAACAGTTAAATTCCTAAAACAAAACAGGTACATTTAAATCACTCTGTCTACAGGATACAGCAGAGCCAACCATGACATTTACAGTTAAAATGTAGATTCAATGCAGATTGGATGTTTTGAATAATACTGATTTTTTTTTTGTCCTGTTGCTGTTTTAACATCTGAGTGTGTATCATGTACCAAGCAACTTGTTCTACCCTCTACAGGTGACAACTTAAGTAATACTTTTTACAATCCCATGAGGTAGGTATGATACTTTGCACATGAAAATTTGAGGCACAGAGAGGTTAAGTTGCTCACAGTCACAGAGATCATAAGTGACAGACCAAGTGAGCAGTCACACCCAGGGCCTGCATTCTTAATTGCTGGGTTGATTTGGGTTACATTGGTACCTAATATACACAGTACAGAAAAACACCTCATCACAGGCAAATTAAGAATGTGAGAAGTTGAACTTTTCCTAGATTTTTTTACTTCTGTATAATACACAGATATTATAAATTATACTGAAAAGAAAAACAGTCCATTGATTTTAAGACATCACAAAGTAAGACAATGGCTTTCCATCATTTTCCTATGAAATATGGTTTCTGTCCTAGAATATACTGAGGGGGGAAAAAAGACACAAAACCTATTCTCCAGGACAGTAATTACAGACAGAAGGAATGAAGAGGCAACATGTCCAAAAATACAATAAAGCTAAGCACAGTATTAAGTTTTACTGAAAAACAATAGCCAAGAAAAGATTTTTTAAAAATTATCAGAATTTCTGCTCACCCTGATTTTCCATAGTCCCAGAAAATTTTGACTAGAATTAGGATACCAATTATTATAGCAGCAGCAACAAATCCTTGAGGGGAAAAAATTTGGTAACACAATTAATAACAACAATGGCATATTCATTGGAGCTTCACAATGACACACAGTAGTTATAAGACAAGTTAAAGAAAAAAAGGGAGACATGACTTGCATTTGGTATATGGATTCCTATGTCACAATTCAACAATAAATACAGCATGTTATTTCTCCTGTCTTCTTTGAAAGAGAAAAAAATAAAGTATCACAGTGCTCAAATACAAATTTTTTTAACAGGTTTTAGAGGATTCTAAAGTGTTTAACATAACCATGCTTACTTTTAAATGTTTGATCATCAGTAGTTCAAATATAAACTGAATAATGAGTTAGAAGGCACTTTGGAGTTCACTCTCATTTTGTAGGTGAATATATATTGATACCCAGAAAAGTCAAAGTTACATTAAATTTTCACATTTATAAATTTTCTCAACATTACTACCTCTGAGCAACACGAAATAAACCCTTTATGTGTCTTGACATGATTGTTAGATTTGGTCTCTGTGGTTCTTCAAATTTTTCAGATAAAAGAAATTCACACAATTCCTTTTCCAGATGACAACAATCACAAAAACTTTATTATTATACTATCTGACTTCTTATATATTATCTGACTTTTTAACTCTGAGTAATGAATGGTTAATTATTGTAGTGGAACTGAAGAATTTCAGGTGAAGAAACATGCAATAAGACAGTGGTAACTCTTGAATCATCAAATTATTCATTTGAAATAACTGTATAAGATGTTAGAGTCTTGCAAGTACACTTAGATTTTGGCTACATTTGAATATTGGGAATACATGCCATAGTCAAGTAGATATGTAAAGGATAAGTAAATACGTATATGATAAAGGATATAGAAAAATATGTATTTCACCAAGTATTCTCTTTTTCTTTAATATTCTTTCAATTGAGCATAAAGAATTTATGAATGTCACAATATGGTATTTCCACAATGAGAGGAGAAAATATAACAATATTAGTAAAAAAGTCAAGGCTACCTTGTCTAATTTGAGTTGTGCAGGCTCTTGTCCTATTACTAGGAAGAAATGCTATCCTTCACTGGACAGTTTCCTTTTATCTCTGTTACTTTGGATAAGTTATAAATTATGTGAAACTACAGTTTTATCAGCTGAAAAATATAAAAATGCTACATTATAAAACTACTCTAAGAAGAAATTTAACACATATAAAAATCTCAGTACAGTACTGGCTACATAGCAAACATGCAAATATTACTTGAATTAAAAACTGCTCTTATTCTTCAGTGTGGCCAGAGGGAATGATCAAATTCATAGTGTTATGATTTCTTGAAACTATATTCATTTAACTTTTGGCACTGTGCTTAGAGTTTTCAAATCCATTATCACATCAAGCTTCAAAGACTTTTTTATAGAAACCTTAATTCTCTCTCATAAATGAGAAAACTGGAATTGAGAGATTAATTACTTGCTTTGAATATTTACTGAATAAAAAAAAAGAGATTCAGACCAAGGTCTGACTGAATCCAAAGCACAAAGCACAAACTCTTTTTCTTTTTTCTATATAATATTGTCTTCAAACACAAAAACTAGTGAAACTATATGGGGGTGATATCCCAAGTAGGTAAAAAAACAAAAACAAAAAAAAAAAAACCTTACTGTTTTTATCTGTATAAAGTATAGATAAAGTATAGTTATATAGAAATGTACATAAATAGATTTAATGAACAGTATTAAAATCTCATGGAAGATGATGATGTGGGTGTGCGTCTAAGCAGGTCCTTGGTAGAGAATAGGAAAGAATAAATACATATTGAGAGATCCAGTAGAAGAATATTTTTAAAATTCATAGTGCCAGTGTCATTTACAAGGCAATTAGGAAATACTATGAAGATTCATTAGTGCAATTAAATAGAAAACAAAAATCAACTATTTCCCAAGTTCTATCATCTGCATCATTTACTTACACTGCAGTATAATCAAAAGCAATTTCTTTGCAACACAAGTTTACTTATCTTTAAAATGATTCACAACATTAATCTGAGAAATAAAATAATTATCAGGATTATGTCTTCCAAGATATCTCTCTCTCTCTCTCTCTCT